TTTTAAATAGTATCTCGCTATATTCCCCAGGAGGATGGTTTTGGACTAGGCTCAAGTGGTCCTGCCTCAGCCTCCCAAAGTACTGGGATTATAAGGCCACCTTACTGGGCCCCTGTTTAGTTTTGATGAAGGTTCAATGTCGGTGAGCCAGCGCATGGCCAATGGTGTATCCTAACGGCGTAGTCCCTTCCCCTTATAGGCTGGTGTCTGTCACCTGTAGCTGAGCTGGTCCCTCTTCACTAGGTCATCCTACCACCGTCTTCCTTCTCTCCCTGAGGAAGCTTTCCAAAGTTCAATCTAGGCCTTGTGTCCCTCCAGCAGAAAGCTCCAAGGCCTTGTGTTTACTTGAGGTCGTGCTGGCCCCTCCGGTGCCCCAAGCTCAGAGCTATTACATAAGACACCCAATTCAACTCTGGGCCATTGACACGGTCCCTGTCACTGAATCTTGTCTTCACTCCTGTGATTTTCTGAAGAACCAATGAATCTGTTAGTGGAGTTCAGCCACAGCACTTTTTTTGAGGCAGTCACTTGTGGCTGTGGCTGGAATGCAGTGGCACAGTTATAGGTCGTGGCAACCCCCCACTCCCTGGACTCAAGCAAGCCTCCCACCTCAGCCTCTGGAGTAGCTGGGACTATAGGCGGGAGCCACCATGCCAGGCTAATCTTATGTAGAGATCGGGCCTCCTTAGGTTGCCAGGCTTACTTCACACTTTTTTTTTCTTTTTTATAAAGATGGGGTTTCAGCATGATGGCTAGGCTAGTCTTGAACTCGTGACCTCAGGTGATCCACCCACCTTGGCCTCCCAAAGTGCTAGGATTTACAGGCGTGAACCACCACGCCTGGCCTTTTTTTCTTTTTTTGAGATGGAGTCAGCTCTGTCACCCAGGCTGGAGTACAGCGGCGTGATCTCAGCTCACTGCAACCTCTGCCTCCCGGGTTCAAGTGAGTCTACTGCCTCAGCCTTGCAAGTAGCTGGGATTATAGACGTCCGTCGTGATGCCCAGCTAATTTTTGTATTTTTAGTAGAGATGGGGTTTTGCAATGTTGGCCAGGCTGGTCTGGACCTCCCGACCTCCGGAGATCCACCTGCCTAGGCCTCTCAGAGTGCTGGGATTACAGCCGTGAGCCACCGCGCCCGGCCCTACTTCACGCTGTTGAACGTGAAAACTCACGCTAATACTTGTTTCACTTCGAAGTCCGTGTTGAGAAACATACATAGAAACGAACTCAAGGCTGACAGCTGTGCTGTATTCCGAACTGCACATTCAAGGAAAAACAGGATCACAGGCGGGTGCTGGACAGGAACTCGAAGGGTGGGTGAAGGATGCAGGGCTTGCTTGGGCGGCCCGCGGTCTTGGCTCCCGCTTCTTCCCCGGGGTCTGGTGGTTGGCCGGCCGCAGGGTGGCGATCCGTGGACCTCCCGGCCTGTAGGGGGCGTCGGGTGCAGCTGAAGGGCCTGCTCCGGAGCCTGGTCAGGGCTGCGCAGTCATGATCACTGAGGCGGCGGCGGAGCCCGTGGTCCCTGTGGTGCCGGCTGCTGAGGCGGCCACCGAAGCTCCGGGACGCGAGGACTCGGCGTGGCCCTGGGTGAGCCCAGGCCCGAGCGGGAACGGGCGAGGGGCGGGCGGCGCACACCCAGGGGCGCCGGCTTCATGCCCCAGCCGTGCCCCCCTCCCCGCAGAAAGACGCCCCGATCCAGACGCTGGTGCAGCGCATCCACCAGCTGCAGGCTGAGCGCGCGCAGGGCTTCCGCCGACTGGAGGAGTGAGTGCGGGCTCTGGGGGCGCAGGGTTCAGTCCCCGGCCCGCTCTGGGCGTGGACGTGGTCTCGGCCGTGTCTGGAGGAGGAGCTGGATCCTCGCGCGGCTGCCCACTTAGATGGGGCGGGGATTTCGGGGCACCAGGTCCTCACCTTCACAAGAAACGCCCCACAGCACGTTCCCACTGCCCGACGACCCACTCCTCGTGGCTTCTGTCTCCTCCCCAAGAGCAGGGTGGGCCTGTCTCGGGTTCCCTTGCGGGAGTCAGGAAGCGTCTTCCCTGCCAGTTCTCCCCGCTGGGGTCCTGGAGGTTAGCGTGGGTGCAGGGCCTGAGAGCCTGGGGGCGCGGCCTCAGGGTCCTCACCTGCCGCAGAGGCCACCGCCACTACCTGCGCAGCAGCCCGGACTACGACTTCGCGCGCTACCGGAGCACAGTGCACGAGGTGACCCAGGCTTTCGCCGCCGCCTCGCGGGAGGTGTTGGCGGTGGAAGCAGAGCTGGCCGGGCCTCGCAGGCAGCCGCTGCTCGCCAGCCACGTGCGCAGCCTACAGCAGTTGGAGCAGACTCGGCTGGGCACGGTGAGGCCACCACCCCTTCCCCACAGTGTCTCTAGGACCCTGGCTAGTTCCGCTCGTGGTGCACCCCTGTCTGGGGAATTGGGGGTGGTCCCAGTATCCCACACGGAGACCTCACCCCTTCCTGTCCCACCTCAGTCTTCTATTAAGGCTTCACTTTGGGGATTCTCGGACCTTGCCCTCTGCTGTTCATCCCCGATTTTTTCCCCAAGCTTTCTCCTTATTCCCAGAGTACTCCCACTTTCTCCCAGCCCCGCCTAAATGCTATTCCAAGATGCCCAGATCCCGCCCCAGCAATGCTCCACCCACTCTGGTTGTTCTGCGTCTCGGGTCCTGTCCTCAATGTCCCGTAGATACTGGCGAGGGGGTTCCCAGCCCACGCCGCCTGCGTATTATCACTCCATCACAGCTTTAGTTCTTGGCTTATTTCTCTCTTTGGCTCCAATTACTCAGCCTTGCAACCCTGTGTGTTTGGGGGGGCGGGCATCATATCTACGCAAAACCACGCCCACATCAAGCTCTACACTGGAATTCCTAGGCCACACCCCCCGGAGCGACCCGTCTCAGCCTTTTTGGCCTTTTTCTTTTTCTCTTTTATTTTTGAGACAGGGTCTCAGTCTCTTGCCCAGGCTAGAGTGCAATGGCTTGATTTCAGCTCAATGCAACCTCCACCTCCCGGGTTCAAGCGATTCTCCCGCCCCAGCTTCCTGAGTGGCTGGGATTACAGCTGTGTGATGCCACCCCCGGCTAATTTTTTTTTTTTTTTTTGAGACGGAGTCTTGCTCTGTCATCCAGGCTGGAGTGCAGTGGCGTGATCTCGGCTCACTGCAACCTCTGCCTCCCAGGTTCAAGTGCTTCTCCTGCCTCAGCCTCCTGAGTAGCTGGGATTACAGTCGCCCACCACCACCACGTCTGGCTAATTTTTGTATTTTTAGTAGAGACAGGGCTTCATCATGTTGTTCAGGATGGTCTCGAATTCCTGACCTCATGATCCGCCCACCTCGGCCTCCCAAAGTGCTGGGATTACAGACGTAAGCCACTGGCCCATTTTTGTATTTTTTTTAAGTAGAGACAGCATTTTGCCATATGGGCCAGGCTGGTCTCGAACTCAGGGTCTCAAGTGATCCACCCTCCTTGGTTTCCCCGTGTGCTGGGGTTTCAGGCGTGAGCCACTGCGTCTAGCCTGTTTGGCCTACTTTTATCCTTGGATTATTCTAATAACACCCTGTCCCGTCCCTGGGACCATGAGGCCCAGCCTAACCTACCCCTACCACCAATGGAAATGTCACTGCTGTTCCCAGGCCACACCCGCATGCCCGCTCTGCCCTGCCTCTGGCCTGCCCACTGTCTCCCTTCGGCAGAGCCCCTGTATACTGAAGCTGACCTTCCTACACAAAGCACTGCCCCTTGTGGCTCTACCCAGGCACTGCCTTTCTGGGTGCCTCTGTCTTTTCCTGAACAGCGTGGGAGGGCAGGGGGTGACTTCTGCCAGTGGAGACATCCTCCGAGTTGCCCATTCTCCCATCAGGTGGCCCTGCTGCAGCTGATGGAGACGCCAGAGGTGGTGGAGCAGAAGGACACGGCACAGATGCACCAGCTGAAAATGAAGTGAGCGCTGCTGCCCAGGCTGCGTGGCACGTGCACTGGCAGGCATTTGCACCAGGGTTGGCATGGTCAGACCCTGCCAGCAGAGGGACCCTCTGCCTGTGCACACTGGTGTTCTCATCTGGTGGCCCCCAGATGTACACATTCCCCAGAGGGCACAACTGTGAAATTTCACATCAGTTTTGCTGTGCATTGCCGGGACCCTGCTGTATACCTTGACACATGCCAATCCTGCACACGTGGCTGTCAGTTGGAGCTTGGACATTGTCGCCCATGCCCCACCAGGCACACGCCTTCGCATGCCTGTCCTCAGCCCCCAAGCACACACACATCTGACAGAGTCACGCTTCATGACTTCCTGATGGTACACACCCCACCAAGATGGCCTTCTCTTTTTTTTTTTTTTGAGACTGGGTCTCGCTCTGCTGCCCCGGCTGTTGCAGAGCCGAGATCACGCCACTGCACTCCAGCCTGGATGACAGAGCAAGACTCCGTCTCAAAAAAAAAAAAAAATTAGTATAATCCCAGGCTGGAGTGCAGTGGCACGATCTCGGCTCACTGCAATCTCCGCCTCCCGGGTTCAAGCAAGTCTCCTGCCTCAGCCTCCTGAGTAGCTGGGATTACAGGTGCCCACCACCACTTTCGGCTAATTTTTGTATTTTTAGTAGAGATGGGGTTTCATCATGTTGGTCAGGCTGGTCTCAAACTCCTGACCTTGTGATCTGCCTGCTTCAGTCTCCCAAAGTGCTGGGATTACAGGCGTGAGCACTGCGCCGGGCCCTTCTTTTCTTTTTTTTTTTGAGACAGAGTCTCACTGTTGCTCAGGCTGGAGTGCAGTAGTGTGATCTCGGCTCACTGCAACCTCCACCTCCCGTTCCGGGTTTAAGCGATTCTCCTGCTTCAGCCTCCCAAGTAAGTCGGATTATAGATACCTGCCACCATGCCCGGCTAATTCTTCTATTTTTAGTAGACAGGCTTTCGCCATCTTGGCCAGCCTGGTTTGAAGTCCTGACCTCAGGTGATCTGTCTGCCTTGGCTTCCTAAAGTGCTGGGATTATAGGCGTGAGCCACTGCACCCAGCCAAGATGGCCTTTCCTCTCAGCCCTCTCTGACCTATGGGATCACCCCTTCTCCCAAGCACCTACGTGGTTCCTCCTGCTTCTAGTGCTGCCTGGAGGTCTGGCGGCGGGCAGGAGGGCCCGGGGCTCACCATAGCCACAGCCCTCTTGGAGCTTCGAGGCAGCAGCTAATTCGCCCCATCTGGGTTTTATTTATAGTTCCCATCCGCTCTTGTAGGGTAATTAAAACCATGGAGGCGATCAGCGAGGTTCTCCAGGATCTCAGGTTTGATGCGGAATCTGCTGAGTGATGGAGGCTCCCCAGGGACGGAGGGAGATGGGAAACGGGGCGGATGGCGCCCAGCCCAGCCCTGACTGCCAGCTGGCTGGGGTCGTGCCCCACTGCGCTGCTGACCTTCCTGCATTTTAGACACCTCCCACAATAAAGAGTTCTTCCTCTTCAGCCACTCTGCCATCTGTGTCCTGGGGCGCTGCAGCCAGTGTGCCTGGGGAGGGGCCCCCACAAGGCCAGGGATTGTGGGTGAAAGACTCTCACCCTCCCCAGAAATTGAGGCTTTTTGGCTTGAGACAGGGTCTCGCTGCTCTGTCACCCAGACTGGAGTGCATTGGCAAGATCACGGCTCACTGCAGCCGCCACTTCCCCGTGCTCAAGCAGTCCTGCCTCAGCCTCCCAAGTAGCTGGTAATGTTTTTTTTTACCAGCCCAGTTAATGTTTTTTTAGTATAGACCAAGTCTCCCTTTGTTGCCCATGCTGGTCTCCAACTCGTGGCCTTGAGCGATGCTCCCAGCTTGGTCTCCCCAAGTTCTGGGATTACAGGTGAGCCTTCGTGCCCAGCCAACTAAGTAATTTTGAATCACATTTTCCAAGGAGTTCAAAATTAGACCTTAAATCTCACAGCCCCCAGCCCAGGCCAGGCAGGCCCCAAACTCACCTTCACAATCACAGCACCTAAATAGCTCATTTATTTAAAAGGACTATTTTGGAGGGGCCCTGGGTAGGGGGAAGTGACTCCCGTTCTCACCCCCAGCCCTGGCAGGGGTTCTAGGTAACTCAGCCAACCCTCACACACCCACACTGGGGTGCACCCGAAGCTGGCCTCATGTGGGAGTCAGAGCTGTTCAGCCCATTGGAGCTCAGTGCCCACCCCAGCTCCTGCTGAGGGGGCTCAGGTGCCCTGAAGTGAGGGTACAGAGGTGGCCCCAGTTTGGGTTTGGCCTCTCCAACTCCGGTGGCAAGGAGGGTGGCCTGAGCCCCTACAGCTTATCTGGCAGGACCTGTAGGCAGAGGGGAAGGGGAGCTAAGCAGGGAGCCACTGAAGAAGCCCCCATTCGGGTCCTGTCTCCACCGCTTCTGGCTGTGTGGCTTTGGGCAGGGTTTTGCCCCTCTCTGGACCTTGGCTTCCCCATCAGAGAAGGCAGGCTATCTGAGCATCCCATCGTTAGCAGGTAAAGCACTTGGCACGGGGTCAGCATGCAGTAGGCGCCCATGCTGCTAACTAGGGTGGGTATGTTCATTCATTTCAGAGGAGATTCCCCTACGGACATTTTCAGGGCATTGAATGTTCTTAGGCTAACAATGCCAGTAATACAGTACGTGGTAAGTACATGCTGATGAATAAAAAAGGAAGAGGGCGGATTCCATCTCAGCGACTCAGGCTGAGGTTGGCGGATGTGAGGGTGTGAGCAAGCCACCAAAAGGGGACCCCCCTTGCTCCCTCCCGCCCACCCATTCGGACCCACCTTACCTCTCGCCGTGCCCCGTCTGCCCGAGGGCAGGATCCCCTCGTCCTGTGCTTGGAAGGAAGGCAGAGGTGTCGTGGGGGCTGCAGACCTGCGTTCACAGCCTGCTTGCTTCTCCCTCCCCTGTCGCCTGCGCCCCCCAGCTCCCCGCCCCCGTCTCCACCCCCGCGCCCGCGGGTCCCTCCTTCCTACCTGGTTGCGGGTCTTGTGCGACTTCTGCATCCAGGCTCGCCACTGGTCGTAGAGGCGGAAGCTGAGGTTGGAGCAGTACGCGTGCTTCTTGAGCCAGCCCAGGAACTGCTTGAGCTCGCGCCGCACCGGCCCCGAGCTCGGCTCTCCGCCCCGCGGCTCGCACGCCCCGCCGCCCGGGCCCGGGCGCTCTGGTGGTGGGCGGAGCGGCAGTGTCAGGGCGCGCCCGGCAGGGGACGCGCGCGGGCAGGAGAGGGAAGACCCCCGGCGCGGCAGGACCGAGTTCCCCTCGGGGAACCTCCCTCCACGTTTCTCAGGGACCAGGTCCTCCCTGCGGCCCTGCACAGCAGCCCAGCTGCGCCCCTGGCCCGGCTGCGTCCCTGGGGAGGTGGGGGGGCGGGGGAAGGAAGGGGCTCCTCCTCCACATCTCCTCCGGGAACCCGATTCCTGTGGCCTGAGCCAGGTGCGAGTGGAGTGGGGGGAGGGGAGAAGGAGAGAGGCCAGGACGGGGGGATGAGACGCAGAGACAGACAAACAGTGCAGGGGGCTGAAAAAGAGAGAGAAAGAGAAAGAGGCACTGATGAGAGAGCGAGCCTGGGCCAAGGGATGAGAGATGGAGACGCAGGGTGCGTGAAAGCCAAGGGGGTCAGCCTAGGAGGGAAGGGCCTGATCAGGGTAGGGCAGAAACCGTGGGGACACAGGGACAAAGAGATCAAGACAGAGGCACAGGGGAAGAGTGACAGATGAAGCGAGACGGAGTGCAAGATGACCCCCTGGGACAGTCCCCAGCATGGGCCCATGGGACAAGGAGTGGGCCGGGAAGGCCAGGTGGGAGGCCGGCCTGTTGGTCCAGCTGCCGGCTGCAGCCAGCCCCCAGCAGGCCGGCGGATAAGGACATCGGCCTCACGTCATAAATAAAGCCGGGGACCCGCTGACAGGCCCTGGCACGGCCGCGGCCCCCGCCGCCCCTGCTGGCCTCCCCGGCCTCCCCGGCCTCCCCTGCGGTTGCAGCGGCCTGCTGGCTCCCGTGCAAGAATCACAGGTGCCGGGCACGAGCAGGGGCCAAGGCTCAGGCCCCTCCCGGCTGCGCTTGCTCCCGCCCACCTCCAAACCTGGAGGGGCCCGGGATAGGGGCTGTGGAGCTGGCTGGAGCCTGACTCTACCCCTCCCTAGCTCTGGGACCCTCTCTGGGCCTCAGTTTCCCTATCATCTCACGAGCCAGCGTGAGCTTGGACTTCCTGTGAACTGAGTTCAGACCCATGTGACCTCCTAGAGCCTCAGTGTCCTCACCTGAGAAAAAGTGGTCTCCCTTGCAGAGAAACCCTGGGGTGGGGGGGACCCGACAAGTGAGTACCTCCATGCCTGCTGCCTGCGGGCACTTAGGTGACACCCACCGTGTGGGTACTTGCCACAAATTATGTCATCCAACCCTCACAACAGCCCAAGGCCAGTGAGATTCTCGTCCCCACTTTCCAGATGGGGAAACAGAGGCCAGACATTCCAAGTAACAGCTTTCGTTTCATTTCACAAAAGGGAGACTAGAGGTCTGTGGACCCAGAGAAAGCCCAAGACAGGAAGAGGAGGCAGACTCAGGCACCTAATCATTCCCATCCCCCTGCTTTGATCAGAAGGGGAAACTGAGGCCCATCAAAGTGAGTTGGCAGCCCATTGGCCTTAGAAGCAGGGGTCTCCAACTCGCTTGCTCTCTTAGGAGGGAGTCTAAGTGGGCAGAACAGGCCAGGTGTGGATGGGCAAATGGAGAGTGAGGGTCCCAAGAAGGGATGGTGGCTGCTGGTGGGGGCTGTGGGCCATGCTGTTACATTTTCTAGAGAATTAATTTTTCTAGCGAATCTAGGATATTTTTGTGTAAAAACTTCCTGTTTTTGAATTTCTACAAATAGGTAAAAGGTTTTTTCTTTCTTTCTTTCTTTCTTTTTTTTTTTTCCAAATAACAGACCAAAAGAAATAGATCGAAGGCCACATTCAGCCCTGGGGGGCTTGGGGAGTCACCAGCTTGAGACCTCTACTCTCTTGGAGACAACCAGGAAACCGACTGAGCACTGTGGCTCACACCTGTAATCCCAGCACGTTGGGAGGTGGAGGCGGGTGGATCACCTGAGGTCAGGAGGTCGAGACCAGCCTGGCCAACATGGTGAAACCCCGTCTCTACTAAAAAATACAAAAATTAGCTGGGCATGGTGGCGAGTGCCTGTAGTCCCAGCTACTCAGGAGGCTGAGGCAGAAGAATCGCTTGAACCCGAGAGGCGGAGGTTGCAGTGAGCCGAGACCGCACCATTGCACTCCAGCCTGGGCCACAGAGTAAGACTCTGTCTCAAAAACAACAACAACGACAACCACCACCACGGCCAGCCGCGGTGGCTCACATCTATAATCCCAGCACTTTGGGAGGCCGAGGTGGGTGGTTCACCTGAGGTCGGGAGTTGGAGACCAGCCTGGCCAACATGGTGAAACCCCATCACTACGAAAAAGTAAAAAAATTAACTATACATGGTGGCGCGTGCCTGTAGTCCCAGCTACTCGGGAGGCTGAGGCAGGAGAGTCGCTTGAACACGGAACGCGGAGGTTGCAGTGAGTGGCGATTACGCCACCGCGTGACAGAACGAGACTGCGTCTCAAAGGAAAAAAAGAGAAGGAAACAGAGGCTCTAGCTGGTTTGGGGCTGGCCCCTGAATCACCCAGCCCTGGGGGGTGGTGCTCACCACTGCGGGGGGTGGAGGCGGCTGTAGGGTGGCTCCACTCACTCCAGATCCCCGCTTTCTTGGAGCCGTAGATGCCGAAAGGGTTGCAGCGCACTTGCACGAAGTACACGGTGCCGGGTTTCAGGCCGGCCAGGCGGCAGGAGGTCTGGTTGCTCACATCATCCACCACCTGAGCAGTGAGAACAGGGTCAGAGCAGGGGGCGGGGCCTGGCAGGAGCGGGGGCGGGGCCTGGCAGTAACGGGGGCGGAGCCAGGGAAGGGGCGGGGCACCTTCCAGTCCACACTGTCCTCCACTCGGTAGCGGATCTGGTATTTGGCTTGAAAGAGGAAATCCTTGAGGGCGGGTGGCGACACCCAGCGCACGCTCAGCTGGTCCTCCAGGCCCCCGACGCGGCTCACGTGCACGTCGGGCGGGGGGTCCGTGGTCACTGCGGGGCGGACCTGGTCACTGTGATGCGGGGAATCGCTCTCAGGCCCCCCTCAGCCTGGGACTGTCTGGGTTGAGCTCCCCCCAGAAGCGCGGCCCAGGCCACGTGGCCTAGGTGGCACCTGCCTGTTTTCCTCCTCCTCCCTCTGCCCCCACCCCCAGGACTGGTGGATTACACGATAAATAATATTGCAGAAACACTCAGCACCTAATTAACGTTAGCTGTTATCACCATTATTATCTGTGACTGGAGAAACAATCCGATCTTCATCTCACTATGGGAAAGCGGACATGGCAGGGCTGATGATATCATTACTATCGTGCTTAGGAGGCCGGGGGGCTGTCAGGCTGCCAGCCTTCTGGGAACCCCTGCCACTCCCTCCCCACTTCCACCTCCCTTCCGCTTTTACCAGAATCTTTGATGTGACATTTTGCTGGGTGCTGAGAAGCAACTGAGGCTTAGAACCTTCTCATTGTAGCTTTAGGATGTGGGGAAGAGTGAAGCAAGCTAGTGGGGGCAGGGATGGAGGCTACAACCCTGGGGGCGGTGTGTGTGTTGAGGGTGCTGAGGATCTTTCTGGGGGCCCCTGAGGGCAGCAGCGTGAGCCCGCCTCTCCCTGAGGCCTTGGTGAGGGGCTGAAAGGGTTAAGGCACAGGCCTGCTTGGGGCTGAGAAACACCCTAATTAGATTAGGCTCAATTCTGCTCACAGATCATCCATTTCCTGCCTCCCGCCCAGCGCCCCCCAGCTCCAGGCCTCGGCTTCCTGGGGCGCCTCCCGACCTGGGCGCCCCGTTCCCTCTCCCCAGGGCCCCCTCCTGCACACCTGGGCTGCCGAGGGGGAGGTGGCCAGGCCAGGTGTTTTCCGAGGAGTGGGGGTATCCTGGCTGCGGACTGATGAGCGGATGCTCAGCCACTTACCTACCTCCCCTCCGACCAGCAGGGACAGCCCAGGAGTTGCGTTACGGCTGGGGAGGGGCAGGCGGGACCCCAGGAGAAATGAGAAGGTGCAAGGGACCCCTCCAGTTGCCTGGTGGGCCGGGCTGGTGCTGAGGGAAGGGGCTGGTGGACACTGGGGGCTCACCCACGTCCAGAATATCCAGCGTCAGCACATCGGAGCGGGCCGAGCCCAGGCGGTTGGTGGCCTCCACCCAGATCTCATAGGGCGTAAAGAGAGCCAGGTCCTTGGGGATGTGGCAGGAGTGAGGGCCCACTGTGTGGTACTCCTCACATGTGTTGTCCTGCCCGTACCACCTGTGGGGATGGGAGGGGGACAGGACAAATGAGGGTTCCTTCTGGTCCCCAGATCTCACCATGGCAGCCTCAGGGTGCAGAGAGGACATGAGGGCTCAGAGAGGGTCCGCGTTCATCAAGGTCATGCAGCCAGCCTGGGACACACACATGGCCCTCGGGCCACCACCAACCTAAGTTTGTACTTGAGGGAGTAGTTGGTGTGGAGGAAGGTCTCCCCGTGGGCCCCTGGCGTCCAGCGGCAGGTCAAGTCCTTCATGTTCTTGGACCAGCAGCTGATGTTGAAGGGTTTCTCTGGGGGCACTAGGAGAGGGGGAGGGTGCAGGAAGCAGGCTGAGGGTCTGGACCAGCAGAGCCTGGGCCGAGGGGTTGCTGCCTGCCCGCCAGGCCCCCACCTTGGAGTGGAAGGAGGGCAGATAGGACCGTCTCAGCCCCATGCTGAGAGATGCCAGCATGGTTGGTGACACCTGCACGGGCAATGGAGAGGCTGGTGACTCAGTCTCCAGTTTCTTTTATTTTTTTCTAGGCAAAGTCTCCCTCTGTTGCCCAGGCTGGAGTGCAGTGGTGCGATCTCAGCTCACTACAACCTCCACCTCCTGGGTTCAAGCAATTCTCCTGCCTCAGCCTCCGGAGTAGCTGGGATTATAGGCACCTGTCAGCATGCCTGTCTAATTTTTGTATTTTTAGTAGAGACAGAGTTTCCGCCATTTTGGCCAGGCTGGTCTCGAACTCCTGGCCTCAAGTAATCTGCCCGCCCTGGCCTCCCAAAGTGCTGGGATTACAAGCGTGAGCCACTGTGCCTGACTGGGTCTCCAGGTTCTCATTCCCACCTAGACCTGCATAGCCGTGCCAGTTGCCCACTGCTTAGCCCCAGGTCAGAGGGCCCACGATTCATGCCTCTCTCCAGAGGGAGATGCCACTCCCAAGAGCTACCCCTGGGGTGTCCTGGGTGCCCACTTACGGCCAACATAGAGGCAGGAGCCAGCCAGGATGCTGCCATCTCGGGCGTGGCACACGAGGTTGTCCCCCGACTGCTGCCTGGACCCGTTGAGGTTGGCCAGGGCCAGGGCCAGGGTGGAGGTGTTGAGCACCCGGGAGAGCTCGGGGGGCAGGCGGCGCCCGTTGAGGGTCCAGTAGAGGCCCTCAGCGGTGGCTCCTGGTGGGTCTCCGTGCACTGAACAGGTGGCCTGCAGGGAGGAGCCGATGAGAAGCGTGGGATCCTGGGGGCTGATCACTGCTGTGTCTGGGGTCAAAGAGGAGCACGTGTCAGGCGGGGGCGGGGACCCTCTGAGCCCCGGACCATGCCAGGACCTCCAGGGTTCATGGTGGTCCTGAGAAGCTGCTGTTAATGACAGCCCCCCATTTTACAGATAGAAAAACTGAGGATCAGTTGGGTTAAATGTCCAGGCCAACACTGGCGGCCAAACACAAACCTGGAGTTGTCCAGGTCTGTCTGACGCCAACAATGGATCCTCCCAAAACCTCATCACTGAGGTGCTCAAGGTTCTGAGGGGTCACACAACTCAGGCATAAAGCTCATTCAGATCCAGTGACTCTTGCTTTGCACATCGGAGTGCAGTGGCGAGATCTCGGTTCACTGCAACCTCTGCCACCCAAGTTCAAGCAATTCTCTTGCCTCAGCCTCCCGAGCAGCTGGGATCACAGGTGCCTGCCACCGTGCCCGGCTAATTTTTTGTATTTTTAGTAGAGACGGGGTTTCACCATGTTGGCCAGGATGGTCTCGATCTCTTGACCTCGTGATCCACCCGCCTCGGCCT